TGYCMAGSWCAAGGGYAATGTAGCCTGAGTAAATGCAGGGGGATCATCTTAAATGCATCCAGGTGGTTTACAAAAACTCTTCAAAAGAGATCCAGGTTCTCTAGACTGTGTTTCACCAAAAGTAAGTGGAACCTAGGCACCTCATTCGCTTTTAAAGGGGGACTTGTGTTTCTGCAAGTGTCATGGGAGAACCATAAGAGCTGAACTTCTAATGGTGAAAATCCATTTCCAAGAAGAATACAATTCAGAAATACTCACACATGTTTTGCCATCAGTCTCATCTCAGAAAAGGTAAAATTTTCATGCTTGTGTAGCCATCTTAAGTTGCTGTCTGGCCCAGCCCAATCACCCAGGCTCCTGGCACCACTCATGGAAACACATCATGCATCCTGAAGGCAGTTCATCCATCAGTCATACCTGCCTATCTCAGGACAATGGAATTTTCCCCTGGAGACTCACCTCCAGCTTGGGGTTCTGCGTGCCTGGCTGGACTGGGCACCTGGCRTTTAGATGATGRCTGAGATGGGTTCTGTCCTTGGTGRCTTGGGTGTTTTTRAAACCACTGYTGGCTTTCATRTGTGAACTTTTGATAGKTTARGCYTGGATATGTTCACAGAARGATGTGTTYTCCTGTGCACTTTTGTGGAGTTCTAAGTGTTCCCTTGAGGAACCAATGTTCCTGCRTAGCATTAGGTTCTCAGATTCTGAGGAGGTGCTCACAAAAATGCAGTTTAATGGCACTGAATGGAAGACAAGTTTAATCTGACCAGTGAATTCAGTTTTGACTATTGCCAGGCTGCAGAGTTACTCTATGTTACTTTAGTTTATCTAATATTATTATCTAATAAGTAGTAAGCGTGAGATTTTACTGAATTCTCAACATAGTAACTTCAAGTTTTTAATATTTGTGGATGGAATGGCACTTGACTGTAATTTAGTTTGCATTATTGTTCATTCTGTATTTCCTGTAATTCTCTTATTTTCTTCCCTTTCATGTTGTAAATTATGCCAGAGCTGGTCATGGTGCAATAGACAGATACAGCTATTTCTAATGATCCAGGCTGCTCAGATGAGCATTAGGGTTTTGTTCATTACAAATTTCTGCCAGTTTATTATCATTTATCWCTTGGATGAACCAGACATTTCAGTCGGTATAGAATTTCTATATAAATTCATCACCGTTCCTTGCCAAGCGAGCAAAGGTTAGCAGTGAACAGATAACATAGCTTAATGAGGTCAAATCAAGCTGATTCATGATCACTATGGAGAAAAATATCCTCCTGGGGAAAATACTTGTGCTGAAAAATCCCATAAACCAAACCACTTGTTTATCTGTCATTCCCACAGAGATAGTAATGTAATTACTCTCATAATTATCTTCATTAGTGTCAGGAATTATCTGCAATTCATTCCTCTGTTCTGAGTATGTTTGTTTATTTGCTGATTTTTGTCTCAGATTTAGCCAACAGAGCTAAGAATTGTGTGTTTGCAAAGCCATGCAGCAGACATCTGTGATGCACTGCTCTGACATTCTCTCTGCTGAAATATGGATCGCTGTCTTTCAGTTTCAACGTCCCTGTGCCCATTCCCTGACATCTGCCCTTCATTACATGGTTCCCGTGCGGCCGAGACGACAGATTGTCTATCCTCTGGAAGAGCTTGGCGTGAACGCTCCGTCGGAGCAGGTCTCCAAGGATCAGGTGGGTGACAGCAGCGGCAGCAGGCGGGAGGCACRGTGCCAGCTCGCACAGGGCTTGGCAGATGGGCTGGCATTACCATCCCAGTGCTCATAGGCTGCTCCTTAATTACAGCGGCCGTGCCGGCCGGCGATCCCGCTCTGCTGCCGCGTGGCCCCGGCTGGGCTGAGACCACAGGCCCATCACACACGGCGGCCACTGGAGCAGAACCCTTCCCTGCTCTGTGCTGACATGATGGCAGTATTTTGTCATGGCCTTACTGCCAGACTCAGTGCCTTGTAAATGCTCTGCCTACTGCTGAGCTCTTCTTCCTGCTAGGTTTATGTTRGTATCATGCTTTGCAGGCAGAAAAAAGACAATGTCATGCTTTTGACTCTTTCTGTAGAAATTACTTAAGTACATTCTATTTTTCAGTCCCAAAGTCAGGTTTCTTCCATGCACAAGATACCCTTAAAACACCAAATGATTTAACAGCAAAGGAAGATTGTTTTCACTAGCAAACTTTTATTTGTAAAGAACTGGTGTGGTYTGGAGGTTCTAAATTAAAAGTCCCTTAAAATTCCATTTTTTAAATAGCTTACACCTGATTCTCTTACATTTTTAAGTAACTAAAATTTGACATGAAGATGATTCCTCAAGAGATTAACTAGTGAAGCTGAAATATTAGRAAAAACACAATTAGTGATGGATTCTCTCAGTAGGTAGTTGTAATTTCATGGAGAAATGTAATTAGGGAGCTTTATGTCTGTCTACTAACTTCCAGTTGGCTGAGATGGGCTTCAATATATTTTTAGTGCTGTCCTTTTCTCAGTCAGTCAGTAGGTTTTGGCACCTAAAACTCTTAATTAGGTAGCAGCTGGCAAAGTAGAATCCAGAACATGGCTGAGGCTGTTGGTCTGAGTTCGGCTTTGTTCAACGGCCTTCCCTCCACATACCCATCCCTGCCTTTCTCTTCTCTGCAGAATGATCTGTCAGATGCTTTTCTCTGAACTGCTTCTTTCATCTTTAAAGTGACTGCRCTCTTACTAAAGGAGCTCATCTTAGCTTTTTTTTTGAAGCTGGAAAATCATAGACTTCATGTGTTCAAAGATTTGTCTGCTCAGGTTCTTCCTGAGGTTTTCTCAGTTCCTCTGTAGGTAGTGACATAATTGCTTGAAATCTCAGATTTAAATTTCTTTTAATAGAATGTGTGAAATTTTTGCTAAGAAGTTGTACTGGAAATACCCCAACTCAAGGCCAGCCACTTTGTAAGTACCTATGCATCTGCCCATGCATGAATWATAGATTTTTGACAGACTGTGCTCTATCAGAATGGACATCTGGGGCTAAGTGCTGGGTGGTAAATTGAGGCTAAAGCTAGTCTGCTTCTGCTGCTGCCTTCTCTGAAATACYAAGAACTTGAAACCATATAAAGCTAAATTGACTCTTTTGTTGAGTGAATGAAGCGACCTTTGGCCACCATACGTTGGGAAGCTTTGTAACATAAGGAGCAGCCTGCTACAGGGAGCTGAGTGTACTTGYAGGAGTAGGGAGATGGTGCTGCTTTTAGACCTTGGGTAGCAGCCAGGCAGTAGGCACTTGCCCTCTCTGCTCAGATGTCTTGTAAAGGAAGATTGATCCCCATCAATAATCTTGCACTATCCTGCCAAATCCTGTAATGAAGTTACAAATAAACTGAAGTGCATTTTATAAATTAATGTAACCAAGTTTCAGAATATCAGTAATGTCTTTCTGCCTTTTTGTAGTGATTAAAAGGCTTCTCAGACCTACTGTAAGCAGTAAGGTGCAATCTGTGAGGCAAAGAACAACCTGTCCCACCAAGGAGATAACTGTGAYAGCTCTGTAGAATGGAAAGGCTGAGAATTGTCACCTTATGAAATACTGTGAGACAAGGTGAAACACATTTTGGTTGTACAAGATGGTGGGCTGGGAAGGGAGGGAAAAAAGGCATGGGAGAACAATCTTATGAGGAAAGTGTGGAGAGAAGAGGGAGAAAGGTRGAAAGCAGACAATGGGTCTGGAGTAGGAATTAGTGGGAACATGTCTGAGGTCAGCATCTGCAGAGGAGTAAGGAGAAAATGTCTCCTATCATCTTTGTTTTGGTGGTATTAAACAAGACGGGGGTAGGATCTTGCAAGATGTTGAGATTGGGCAGGCAGGAATTCCAAGCATTTGAGACCACTCCTCATTTCTTTATTCCCATGTCTCCATCCCAGCTCACCAAGCTGGTTTGAACCAAGGGGGCTTTGCCCTCTCCTATTTGAATGCAGCTCCTCCAGAGGTGAATCTGTGCCTGCTTTGTTCCCAGTGTAATTGCTGGTTTAGAGGGCTCTGCAGTAGTGGCAGSATTGGTCACATGAATTAGAAGATTAAGATTGTAAATGCACGTTGATTTCAGAAATGTTAAATTTTCCTTGATTGCCTGCCCTAATTGATTGCTTGAGTATCCGTTGCTTGTAACAGAGATAATTGTAGTGATGTTCTTGCTTTGATACCCACAAGATGCCCCTTGATACCTAGTAATCAACATCTGCCTCTCATCTGCTRCCTTTTCAGCTGCCTTCCTCTTGTTCCAGCTCTTCTTGAGCTCTTGCTTCTCTTTTCTAGCTGCCAAGTGTTTTTTTCCCCAGTAACAGCCTGGGGCTGAGCAGCTCCACCATTCTGTGTCAGGGCACAGCTCCTAATTTGTGTGTGGCTCTCTGTGGGCTGTTAGTGGCTCCATATCTCAGCGAGTGCACAGTGGGAGCCCTGGGGCTCCATCAGTCTGTGTCTCCCCAGTACATTCCAGCCTGCTTGGAGCACAAAGGGAATTCACTCAAATACCWATCCAGTGCACAGAACAGAGCCAGGACACACACAGGTTCTTTCCTGCTTCCTTCTTCCAAAGCCAGAAGAGAAAGCAGCAATCTAAACCACAGAAGCTTTGCTCTCAGCTAATTCCCGAGCATTGCCAGTCCAGATGGATTTTGGCTGTGCTAGAGAGGTGGTTTTGCTGCAGGTCTTGATCAGCTGTTAAAGACAGATGAGCACAATATGTGGTAACTTTTTCTTGTTGTCCCTCTGTCAGCTCTTTCTGTTCTTCTGTGGTGTTTGGAAAAACCACCAAGGAGGGGGTGGTATGTGTTGCCCTCCCATGGATTCCTGGCCTGCTCCCTCCTGTCTCTGGGAGGGAGTGTGAGCTGTGTTTCGTGGTATTGAAGGAAACAAAGATCCTTGCTCCTGTGGGCTCTTTGGCAGAGCTAGATGTCAGCTGGAGGTATGTACTCCTAAACTCCAGAAATGTATCCTATAAACCTACAGCTGACTGTYACCTATGTGGCTATTTACCTGCAGTTCTCCAGTCACCCTCTTCTCTCCAGGMCTTTGTGGCATTTTTCCATGGTTCAGTTTTGCTTCTGGTTTGAGCTAGGCTTTTGGTTTTTGTTTCCTCTTGCCTGATTGCTGAAATGACTATGACTCCTGAGAAATACAGAGCTTAGGGAGCTCTYCCTGCTCTTCCCCTATTTTCCCATCCTTTTCATGAACACTGCTGTAGGTTTTAAGGCCTTCACAAGTTTTTTCACTCTTTCTCTTAAACCACAACTCTGTGCTTCATTTTTGCCTCAGAAGCCCTGCCACTCCCCAAGCAGTGACTCAATTTCCTGAAGGACTGTAAATTCTTCCTTATTTCTTCTTTTGTCTTGAGATAGCAAATATATTTTGCTGCTGATTTTGTGTGTCTGCTCCTACCAAGCTCTATCTCCCATTGCTCTGCTGAAGAGATTTGAATAAATTGGCTAAGATTGGGCTAAGAAGGCACAAGCAGGAGATGTTAAACTTGCCTGTCTCCCMTTGCAGCCCTCTGGAATGAAGGTGTGCTTCTGCCAGGGGCTCTTTGGCACAGTTGCTGGCCATCTGATTTGCATCCAGTCCTGAAGTGTCCAGATTTTGGCATACCTGTTGARCAGCAAGTGTGGCAGAGGTGCCACATCTTGGCTCAGAATTGCATCAGCCACAACATCTGCCACATTGGTTCAGGGCACAGACCTGACAAAGCTCCTGCCTGCTTATTAGATCACACATTCTGTACAGCTGTGCTAAAGCCAAAGGAAATCTCTAATTTTTGTATTCTGGATTGGCAGCCAGTGCTGAAGCGCCAACTGGCAGAAGATCCAAAGATTCAAACTCTTAATTCCCTCAGCATTAAAACAGATTAGATTATTATTGTGGTTTGCACATCTGTCAGTCACTGCAGTCATGTTGCRCAAAAAACAGTCAGTTACAACAGAATTCTGAATATCTTAAAAGGTGCCGCTGGCCTTCACAATGCATGTCATTATTGGTGGAGTAGAAAACTRTAGATAATGAAATAATTTTTAATTATTTCTTCATAAATAAACAATTTATAAACTTGTTTGCTTTCTCACCATCTGGGAGCATTCTGTTCTCCATCTGCTTCATGTAATTATCAATGTAAGGGAAGAATAGGTGATATAATTAACAAGAATAACTGATCTGCAATGAAGAACAAAAATGTCACACATCTGTTGAATTATTTCTTTGGTGGTGCCCTTTTATTATTATTCATACTGCTGGGTTTATTATATTTTTATTTCATGGCTGCATTCAAACTGTCAGGTTTTATTGCACAGTTTAAAATTGTTTTTTCTGCTCTAGCTCATAAAAAGAAGGAAGAACAGTTGCAGAAGCCCGTGAAGTGTTGTATAAATTTAGTTAGTTTGGTGTGGAGTTCAAATAGAAAATGGAGGCCAAGGCASTGTGAATTCAACAGTTTCCAGTGCAACGTGGAGCTATTTTTGTGTGTTTGATTCTATGATGATGCTTACGGTAAAGGCTTATGAATAAATGGCCTGAGAGTAGTTTAAAATAGTAATTAAAACAAGAACATGAGTGAAATATATCCTTGCTTTAAGATTCATCTTAGAATTTGTTCCATTGCAGTGTATGTTCACACTTACGTACTCGAATTATGAATGTAAGAGCCATTCTGGATGATTCTGTGT